CCCCGCCACAAACGTCTCTAACCGACTTTCTTTTTCGTCGCTCGACTCTGTTCCCCGTGTGCCTACCTGATGCTTTACCTCTATCGCTATCCTCCCGATGCCGTACTCTGTACTCCCGACACTCCGACTCGATCATCGACACTTTGACCTGTTACGCAACTCCGCGCCTTGCCAACCGTCTTTGTTCGCCTCCGGGTACTTCGACCACACGTCTACTGTCAAAACCCCGACCGTTATCTTCTTCGCACATCTCCCGGCACTGTCTGATACTCGTAAACACCCATCTAACTCCTCACGGCATCCCAAACATTCTACCTTCCCTTGTATCCTGTCGTAAACAACTGCCGACACTCACATCTACCTTTCGCTTACCGTCTCCTGACCGTCTTCATCTCCGCACTAACCATCGCTACTCCTTCCGTCACCACTCACGCCGTCCGTCTTTGCACTGCACCACACTCTACACCACTCTGACTCTCACCACACTTCTCGTATCATACATGCAACACATCTGCTCACCGTCACCCGCTCGCGTCCTATCTTGTCGCATGTTTTTCCGAACCGCAAATCTCCAACTTCACTATCTACATCTCTTCCTATCGCTTCACTTATCCCCGCCACAAACGTCTCTAACCGACTTTCTTTTTCGTCGCTCGACTTGTCTCCGCTGATGGCGCCAAGCCTTTTGATACCTAAAGGGGCCACAACTCTTTCCACGTGCTCGGACCATCGGGCCGGTACCGGTCACTAGCATGAGCTTTCGTTTTAGACTGTTTCATGTAAGACCCCGGCTGATTTGCCGCCGGGGTCCATTATTTATTCGAGTAGTACTATCTACATCCTTTGTATCTAGTTCCATTATCCGGTTCCTATCTTCGTGCAGTATTCCTAGTACGGCGTCACTTGACGGCTTCCTTCACTATCCGATCTGCGCCAGGTAGACGCGTGTGCTTCGCATGGATTTATCCGCGATCCTCGTTGCGCGCGTGCGGTCGCGAAGCTCACGGCGTTCGCGATGACGCGCGTTCGGGCCACGAAGGACGCTCGCGGGGGCGATAGGAGCAGTCGCCTAGCTCTTCAGGTGGCCTTGTAGTGAGCTCACATCGCCTCCTTCGACGGTGTTGTTGACTGGCCATGTATCGCGCTGCACGACACTTTGGCGTGCTCGGATGCTGAGGGCGGAGACGCCGAGGATGGTCTGACCCGTCATCCGGTGTCACTCGTTGCGGAACGAGTCGCTGTCTGGCGTGTGGCCGACGGACGAGGCCCAGCAGTGAGGGCGATAGGCGAAGCCAGTCACACTCGGAGATATCAGCACGCGTATGGACGTTACGCGTACATGCTTCGAAGTGCTCGTCATTGTCCACTCGGCCTTCGCCGCCGCTGCCACTGAGGACGCGAGTTAGCTTCGGGGTTTCAGCGCACGCCTTGGGCAGGAGACGCACACTGCCAATATCGAAGTCGGGTAGCGTGAGCGCTCTGTGTATTTTCGACCGCGGTGAACGCATCGTCTGATGCCGAGTATTAGCGACCTTCTCGTAGTGTATGTGATGACGGAGCCGTACCTCCTCTGCGTATGCGTTCTGCATACCCGTGACCCACCCCCGTCGAGGAGCTTCGTACATCAGGTCATCTCACGAATACCGCGGCGTTGCCCGACAACAATGTCGTCGCGTAGCTGAGGGAATGTTGCGGGATGCACCGCGAGTCTTAATAGCGGACACGGCGCACCGTGGGCTAGAGCGAGGAGGCTCTTGTTGGACTCGTTCAGTAATCCTGGGCAATGGGTTCGTTGAGTAAGACACATACCGTCCACTAAACGTAGTGAGCGGGACGCTTCACTAGATTCGTCAGAGCCGTTGCGCGCGGGCACATGGTCGTCGCCACGCGGGCGGTGAACGCGTGTCGTCTAGCGTAGACTGCTGACCCTGCAGCTTCGTCTCGCGAGCTGTTCTTTGTTCGTAAGCGGGCTATGACTAATAGGACTGGGCGGAAATTTACATACGTGTCAGAGCCCGAGAGAGCATCTGGCAAGGAGTCGAAGCTGCTCGTAGTGACAGCCAAAAGCTCGAGCATAGAGCACATCATCTAAGCCCACTACATGGTGTTGCAGAAGCGCGCAGGTATCACTTGTCTAGACAGGCGCCGAGGAGGTGGTGGTCTGTAGAAGAGCCCGAGTCGAAGGCGGGCGCGGGCGAAATGTCGTTTTACGTGCACGGCACACAAGAGGTTTGTGGTTGTGCAAAGGTAGTTCGTATCATATTTGTTCAAAGCTGAGTGAATGATTGTTGGATGGCGAAGCGGCAACGACGCAGAAAGTGAGGGCAGCTGTGACGGAGATGGCAGTCGTGGACAGACCCGCGTCTCGAGCTCCGCGCGAATATGACGCGTGCCTGCGCTCGAGCTAGCTTCCCTCGAACGCTCACCACACTTACTCACACCGTCGCCGTCCTTAGACATCTTGAACTGTTCCCAGCGAAAACCGCGGGATCGCACGCGCCAGCGACATTGTCCGTTGCAGTCTACGAAGGGCCGACCAAGGGCCGACTTCTTCTCTGGAGGCGCTGAACGATGAGCACACCTCGGTGAGGCGTGTGTGTATGGTGTATCGAATCTTAATGCCCGTATACGCTCGAATTATGCACTTTCTTTACTCTGAACCAGATTCTAGGCAAGAGTGGGACCAGTACCTAACCTACGGCGTCGATACTTCACCTCCCCGCTTCCTCTACACCACACATACTGCAACTCCGTGCCTCTATCACTACGTAGCACCAGCCCTTCAGTTCTACGCTATTGTAAACCCACGGATACACGGCATTGCCACGATTAATATAGTGCGAATCGAATCGAACCTCGGCGATTGCACTTCCGTCCAAGTAATCATGAAGCTGTCTGAGAGCGGTCTGCGTTACATACGACGCGGATGAGCGGCGGAGAGGCATACGCGCGCGTTGACTGCGTACGCAGGCTGTCGGCGTCGTCTGCTAGTTTGGATAGGCATGTCGCCGCGCTCGGCGCACATGCATGCAACCTGGCTGCATCCGTACACGACAACGTCAGCCTCGCAGAGCGCGAGCGCAAAAAACCGAGCGATGCGAGGGCCGTAAATCGCACCCTCACGCCTCTACCTGCACGAAGACCCCAAGCACCACGCCACGACCGACGAGCGAAACGAACGCATAGTGATAAAGAACTGCATTAATCCACACCCAACATTACACCATACTTTACTCGACCACTCCATAACGTCGGCAGCGGCGCGACCTTCCTCATATTCGCGCCCAACCATCCGGCAACGCCAAGCTCGGGTCCACATCCGCCGCAAGCCGCCCACCGAACAGGGCCGTTGGTGGCGCGGGACTGAGAGATGCGGTCCCCGAGGAGCGGGTGGAGGTGGCGTGGATGGGCCAGGCTGCTGCGTCGTCGAGGGCGCAGGTTGTACGACCTTCGATTTGTTTGGAGAGTTGGAGGAGCATGTCCAACCCGCGTGCGTGGCCGCTGCAGGGAGGATTGTATGTGAGTTGCGGGGGTATGAAAGAAGGGTAGGGGTATAGACGTACTAGCCTCCTTGAACCTGCTCATCATGTCCATCATCTATGCCGTGCCCTCACGCCAAGGCGTGCACTGGCCGCACGACTCATGCTTATAGGACTATGAAAACAAAGAAGATGAATAGCTAACCGCAGATAAGCGAGAGAAATGAGACCTACGTGAGCAAGACGAGCAATGGCGGCGACGAGGTCGGTGGACTTGTCCAAGATAATGCCAGCACTGGTACCAAGACCGGTCTGCTCGTTCTTGATCGAGTCGCAGTCCATCAAGACCTGGGCGCGCCCGATGTATCGCTAACGTGGTTAGCAGGCGAATCCGAGCTCTCCGCATTGCCTGTCGAGCGCGGGATGCGCGAGCCGCCGGTTGAGTGGGTCTTTGACGATGTGCTCTTGCGCTGTGGCGTATGGTGTGACCGCGTAGCCGCCGAAAACGCGCCCAATGGACGACACATTACCGCCGCGCGATGCCGAATGACGGACTGTGAAGGGGTAACGACCGGATATGGGCCGATCGAGACTCGACATCGAGTTCAACGCGCGTCCAGGGGATGGAAGACCTGGCTCGTACGGAGCTTGACGCTCTCCTCTTCCTTGTACTCCGCATTAGGTGAAGTGAACTTATTGAATGTGACGTGAGGAGCCCGGTATTTGTGAAGGGATCGAGGTCCTTTGGGACCTAGGAAAGCTGACGAGTCCTCATCGCCACGATAGAGAGTGCGGGGAGGAAGATGGGGGTCAAGAACAAAAACGCGCCTCGGACTTCGCGCGCGAACAAACGCGCGAACGTGACCGCGAATCTGCATTCATGCATCTTGTCTCGGACGACCACTATGCCTGCACCTCCAACCGCTCGCAGGCGTGCTATCTTACCTCGGCAATCTAATACTGCTGGACCCTCAGGCTCTTCTGCCTCGCCGACACCGACTGATACGGATAATGCCAACCCAACATCTTCCTCCACCTCGTCGACACCAAGTAGTACACCGACTTCAAGGTGCGCATGCGTGTTGTATTGGCATGGCAATCAGGTTACTCACATTATACTAGTACTGAATCTACAGAGAGCTCCTCCAGCACTCGTACGCGATCGTCAACGCCATCCTCCACCCCCTCCTCGACGCCTACATCTACTCCGACCTCCACTCCCGAGTCTAGTACCCGATCTAGCACTCAATCTTCCTCGACCGAGACATCTTCCACTGCTTCTTCGTCAACAACGTCTACGATCACGTCCTCAGACAGCTCTACAACCCCGAGCTCGACCCCTGCCTCCTCGTCCACTGGATCCTCATCGATACCTGCCTCCGCAAACATGACATCCGCTGCGCCCTTCACGACACTCTCACAGACCTCTACATCGTCTGGCGCCAGCTTTACGACTCTCACTTCGTCAATAGTCACCGAAATCAACGGTACTCCCACCACGGTGCGTCTAGATACATCTACCCCACTTCTCGTACTCCTCCCAACGCCTCTGTTGCGACCGACGGCTATCGTACTCCATGATTCTTCCACCCCTCCCTGCGTCACCTTTTCACCTTTCATTCGCGCATAGGGCTCCGTTCGCCGAACTTCTGCGCTGTTTGATCCTCCATGCTGTGCGCGCGGTCAACTAACTCCGCGCCACCCACAGGCTCCAATCGCTATAGTCACCGCGCTAAACTCAGACGCTTCTGGTGACGGACTCGATAGTCACGAGCGGGCGGGCGTCATAGCTGGTGCCGCAGTGGGCGGTACTGCATTGCTCGTCATCCTATTCGCGGCCTTCTTCTTTTACCGAAGACGCATCGACAAGCAACGGTACTCGTTCCTCAAGCGCGAGCCGCCCAGTCGCGCCGCCTTCCTTGCCGATGAACTCGCGGGACCTTCGCATGGTGCATACCGCGATGATCCCCTCGCGCCAGGCGGTGCACCCGCAGCAACGGGCGCGGGTGGCGCATACGAACTTCCGCCGCGGCTACTGCGCGCGAGAAATTCAGAAAGCGGGAGTATGTTCACTGAGGACGTATGGCCTCCACCTCGCACCGCGCTCAAGGACCCTATCACCAGCACGCCGAATCTACACGGCGTCGTGGAAGACGTGATGGGCCCATCAGGCTCCTCACCTATACCGTCGCAATCAACGCTCGGTACCGGACAACGACCAGGCGCGCTCGAGCCGCGTTTGCGCGGAGGGTCAGGCGACGCCAGCTTGTGGTCTCAAGACAGCGCACCACGCCCGATGAGCGAGACGAGCCGCACTGCTCTCGTATCCATACACGACTCGCCTCCACGCGGGCACGGGCGCGACGCGTCGGATGTCCCGCTATTGAGTGATGGTGCGAGCGCGATCGAGTACGACTCGCGCTTGGGGCGGCTTATGCCTACGAATCCGGATAGGCAGTCGGTTGATCTGCCTAGTCCGCCAGCGAGCGGGTTTGCGGGCCATCCGAACTGGCTGGAGAGGACGCCTAGGAGGATTGATGAGAGCGGTGGATAGGCATCGTACGCGCGGGTGACGCCGCGATGTCGCCCTCCTGGCGTTCGGGATAAGATGCATGCGCTCAACTTCTACGAGCGACGCTGCGTGCTGTCAACTCCCCGCGTTTTGCTCTTCGCCCGCTGCACTTTACACTCGACATTCACCATCGGACATTTGGACACTATCTGGATCTTATTGTTTTGGTCTCTGACTTTCTCCGCTATACATGCTCGCTATCTAGTTGGATCTCCGTTTGGACTGACTCTGCTGATTGGACATGGACGTTCCGTGCTTTCTCTCGCTTTCCCCACCCATGCCACGATCTCGAATGACTAATCTCCTGTACTATATGTCCCACATACTACCCCCTATCGATGTCGAACTTCAGACTGCATTTCTATGTTCGCTTTAACGCCCACTTTGCTTCCCGAGTGCAGGTTTCCACTGCAGAGGTGATCGTGCGCTACAGCTAGTCTGCATCGGTGCGTCTTCAAGCTCACCACACCTGTCACACTACTCATTGGCCTCCCTGTCCTTATATATACAGTGCCGTTAATAAGACATTGATACATCATTGAGCTCAGCTCCTTTACATCGACGTTGCGGCCCAACGCGCTTCCACCAATCCCGCGTAAGAAAACCTATTCAAGACCCTACTCGCTGATTGATTGTCTCGGATCCTTGTCCCCGTACATTCTCATCCGTGTCATTGTACCCCGTACAGTGGCTTGGGCGATAGCGTATCGTTGCGGCACCCGCTAGCCAGGTGTTAGTTCAAATGTGAGCAGCACGACATGTCCTCTTACCTTGCTCAAGGCAGCGCTTGTATAACACGTTTCTCTCCAGATGGCGTCGAGAAACTTGCCTCGAGTGCAGCCCTCGATCTATGCTGCACGACTGCGACCGTGATAGCATCCCAGTCGTCCCCAAGCCACACCTCATCAGGAACTCGCTCGTACGGTGCGTGTGAATGGAATGGCGACTCTTGCCGAAAATCAGATAGGTCTATGGGCTGACGCGAGACAATCAGCTTGATGAAGCCGATATCCAGATCCTGGTCTGGCCGCAAGAAATAGCTGAAGGGTGCCCCGCCGCCAGCACCGTATCCAATCGTCAACTGACCGCGAGGAGGGATTGAAGGCTCAATACCGCGCGCGGTCTGCATCCGCTGGTAGTAGTCAACTGTTGAGTCTATGTTAACTTTTGTTCGGCATATAGACGCAGCCGCTTACTGATGGATAGGTCGCTACAGTCAAAGTAAAACGCCCATAGGTATAAGGGATCGTCCGAGTTATTGCGGACAACCATGCCGTAGTAAGTCTGGTCATCCGCTACGACGTCGGCAAATCCCCGTTGATGAAGATCGCGACTGTCGCGAACGACGTATGGTGCGTTCAACTCGTCGTCAAGCAGCGCCTCTTCGTCTTCCACGAGTTCGTGCATCCCGATGCTTATAGTGTCCCTCAGCACCTTTTCCTGCGATGTACGATGCAGATGCTTTAGAAAGGTTGTGGCGGCTCGCAGAACAGGGAAGATCAACACTGGGCCAGGATCTATGTGCGTCGTTCCTGGCAACTGGTATGGACGGACACCTGGTATAGATGACCCGTGTATAGTGTACCGCGCACGACCACCGTCTGTCCGTACGCTGAAATGAGCCTTGCTTACGTTTCCCTCGACGATCATACCCGGTTCGCCCCAATGCCAAGGCAGCTCATGGGCGTAAGCAAGAGCGCTCTTGATCGATTGGGCAGCTGCATCCGTGGAGGAGAAGTGAATCCGGATAGCGTCGACCGCTGCGGTGGTGTTAGGTATTGCGAAACACGGTTGTGTCGCCAGAGAAAGAGATCCCGAGGTCTCTGTGGAGAAGGGACCGACTTCTTTCGCAGTGACCACTGCAACAGGACCATCTGATGGACCAGGAAGTCCGCGGCTCGTGTAGACGGAGAACTCGGTGTTGGGCGTGACGCCGTGCAACGAGCCAGCCCAAACGACAACGATGCCTATAGACCCAGAGATGTCGACGCGATACATCGCGCGCCTGTCATGTGCGACGTGGGCGTCAAATAGTATGCGTCCGCTATGGTCTCCTAAGCAGAATGGTGATTGGCTGTGACAATGCTTCAGCTGTACACTATGTGGAGCCCAACGAAGGGCGCACCCTGGAATGTCCGCGAGATTTTGCATGAGACTGTCGTATGTTGTGTGCTCTACAGAATGCGTCTGCAGAGCGGCGATGAGCTTAGAGGTAAAGAACCCGCGCCCATTGCTCTCGTACGCGACCTCCGTGTCGCGACAGGCTGCAAGCAGCACATGGGAGTCTACTGCTGAGGGATGGTCGAATTTGGAAGACGCGCGCAGCTCGTCTTGCAACGCGATATCGCTCCAGATGTCGTTGTCAAGTTCTGCGTGCACTCTACCTGACCTGATACATCTGGCACGACGTGCGAGACCGTTGGCGGTATCAGGCACGGAGTGCGAGCAGTCCATGATCACGGTCTGTTCAATCTGAGTGAGCCGCCGTAGAGCGCCAAAATGGGTATAGACTCACGATATTGTCACCAATGCTGCTGGTGAGCTCTTGTAGAAGAGCGTGTACGCTTCGGATCGGTATGGCATTCGTGAACAATACATCGTCCCCTAGCAATCCATCATGTGGCACAATCAGAGATATGTCTCTGCCGTTGGTGCGCCATTCTGTCGGCGCAGCTGCACTCGAACCATATCCGGCAAAGTAGATCAGTATAGGATCACCTTTGCGGATACCGTTCTCCGGTCTCGAGAACGCTCTGACATTCCGAATGATGGCTGCACGCGTAGCGCGCTCATTCCGTAGGTTGACGATTTGACGATCGGGTACCCGGAGCTCCGTGCGTAGAAAGTTGTGTATGGCATCTGCATCGTTGACCGCGCCAGTAAGGTTCTCAATCAGGTGCGACCGATATCTGTCGATCCCTATGATGAGCGCATGAAGCGGGGGACTGTTAGTCCTGTAGATTGCGTATGAATATGGGAGCCCGTAGTTCTCAATTCACACGTACGTGTCCTCGTGAGATTGAACCCAGCCCGATCCTTCTATCATGCGTAGAGTCTGCGGAGGCGAGAGCTGCAGCCGACTCGTCACGTATGAATGGGCGTCCGCGAGTGTCTCCCACTTTGTGTCCTGAACAAGAGCATCGTCAGCGCGCTGCGGTGCCGTGTACGTGAATCGATCGTACAACATTGTCCGGGTCCGGTAAGAACGGGTTCAGCTCGTCGTCATGCATGAGGAGAATATCATCCTCACACGTTGGTTCGTATAGCTGAACGGTGAGAGATCGACGGGCGACGCCATGATTGTGATTGACCCACCTCGGCGACGGTCTTGAGAGCGAATGCTAGCAAACTAGTATCCTGTGGTGACAGAATGAGCCCACTGACTGAAGGCAGATCGGATAGAGTGTACTGACTTCGGCAGGAGCTGCATCGGATATTTCATCTATCCTCAGGGCACCGTCAGAGTCAAACCCCGAAGTGTCCATTAGTACTAGCTGGCTCTCGTCGTCGACTCGATCCGACGGCGATGAACTGCGAGAGTTTGCGCCGCCTCGTAAGCGTAGGACCTTGTCCTTGCGGAATACAACCCAAGCGCGGAAGCCTTTGATGAAAAGGCATTGATCCGCAGAAGGGCTTGTGGGCGACTCGAAGTGACGCTCGGCCGAAGATGGCTGGATACTATCTCCATAGTACGGCTTCATGACTCGGCCCGTTGAGTCTGAAGAAGACGTAGTCAACAACGATGATGAGGGCGACTCTTGTTCGGTCAGGGAAGGAGAAGAAGTACTGTCACCCAACGACAGCGGCAGAGAGAGTTCGGTTGGGCCAGATAGAGCGTCCACGCTGGAGGTATGGTTCCAGCTCAACGACGCCGTTAGGGAAACACCGGCGTCGAACCCAATTGGGATCGGCGGTTGAACCTGAAGAGAGAGCTCTGCTCCTCCAGAACTAGATTCGCTCCAAGTCGTGGCCCATGCGCGCGCACGTTCGTAGCCTGTAACCAGAACGATGTCGTGTGCTGTCTGTTTGTAACCGCGAGCCTTAAGAAATCGCAACCAATCTGCGAGGTGTTCCCGGTAGTACTTCTCGTAAGCATCTAGATTGACGGCATAACTCTCCTCGTGAAGGTCGAAATAGTTGAGTGTGGCGCCTTGATCGTGCGTGTACGAGAGCTTTGATGAGCCGCCACCGAAACCCGGACTAGTTCGTGCTACGTTAGTGCGACGGATCCCAGCCGATGGCGGAACTCACACAGATACGTCCACTGAGAAGTTTGCGGAGACTCCGTGACGATTCTCGACGAATTCCCGCGCGATCTTCCGCGGGTAAACCCATATATCCCCGCGTTCAAGAGGAACGAAGTTGTCTGGGGTACCCTTGATCTGGTGTGGGTCGTCCTTTGCACGATGGATATTGAACAAGAGGTGGAAGGAGCCGTTCAAGATGAGTCCGACGTCACCAATCTCCACCGCAGGGTTCAGGTTCAACGCGCGCGAAACAGGATCTTGGTGGTATCCTGGGTGAGGATTGAAGAGGGCGTGGCCCCTCTTACGCAACCTCATATCCTTTTCGTAGCCAAGAGCCGCTCGTTCAGAAGGCATGACGGCGGCGCAAGAAGAGGATCTATGGAAGCCCAGAGACTAATTCGATATATACGGTGGCGGGCGCTTGATAGAGGCCATGTGAATGATCTCAGCTGCAGACTTCCCCTTCGGGCATGTAAGCTTCGGTGAAGTAGATGCGCGAGACTGCGAGTAATGAAGTCCCGCACCTAGTTCAGTGGTAGGGAGAGACGCTTCATCTGCACATGCCAGTTAGTCTACTCCTCCGTGAATCAGAGCGCCTGTGCGCAGTTGATATACGGGCTCCCATTCATTCAATGCTGGCGCAGATCGTTCATCCGAAACTATAGCCCACTAGCAGGCACTGAGATATCCACATCAGAGGTAAATGTAGGAGGTGAGGTCCCTTTGCATGCGTCCTTGTGCGTAGACGTTATGGTGCGATGGAGGTGAAAAACAAGCCGTGCCGCGGGCCTACTGCCCAAGTCCCACGCGTCTCTCGCAACCCACTTTTCATCATCGTGTTATCCACAGATGATTTGTGGTGTGTGTATGACTGCTTTAGAGTGGAACTATATGTCTGCAAGATGATACAGGGTATCGAGAGAGTCCGCACGACGGACTTGAGGTGAACTCGTAGGTTCAGCAGTTCATGAGACTTGATAAAATACAAACCTACTACTTGGCTCTGCCCTGTACAACAGATATCAGGAAAGTATCCCAGATGAGCCTTGGCCTCGTGCTACCTGCTAATCCTGAGCCGCGCGGGGTTGTTGACACAAACGGAGACTCCTGTACGACGTTCGATAGGTCAACATGCTCTGTCGAGATGAAGAGCTTGATGAAGCCGACATCGAAATCCTGGCCGGGACGTATAAAGTACTTGAACGGTTGCGCTCCCCCGGAGCCATAACCTATCGTTAGGCGACCTTTAGGCGGGAGACTAGGCTCCGCGCCTCCGCCTGTGACCGCTGGTCTGTAGTACTCCACTGTATGCGCATTAGATTGATCGTTAGAACTTATGCACGAGTACTCACTGATCGACAAATCACTGCAATCGAAGTAGAACGCCCAAACATGTAGAGGGACGGTAACAGCATTAGTCATCTTGATGCCATACACCGTCTCACTGTCAGCAACAACATTGACAACACCGTTCTTGAGTAGATTAGCACTGCTTGGCACCCAGGGCGCATCCAGATTTTCGTCGATCTCTCCTTCCTCATCCTGCTCCAGCGAGTGAACTTCGACGGAGACCTTGCTGCGTAGCATGTTCTTCTGTGGCGAGCGATGTAGATGCCAAAAGAAGTGACTTGCAGCTCGCAGAACAGGGTGGATGAAGCGCTCGTCCGGCTTGGTCGTTCGACAAAAACTGGTTAAACCGTGAATGGTGATGAGAGAGTCGTTGATCATATACTCGATCTCGCCGTCGTCACGAGCGCGTACACTGATATGTGCACTCTTCTGGTCTCCGAGAAGAATAGGGGGGCTTCCAGAGTCCTCCTGGAGCTGCAGCTCCTTCGCAAGCGCTTCTATCACCGATCGCAGGTCTTCTGACGGCGGGATGTACATGCGAAGAGCCTCCGCCTGGCCCATCGATGTCTGGAAAGCGAAGCAAGGCGAAGGGAGGTCGATCTCCATAGCAGCGGCGTCGGAAAGTGTCAGCTCTGAGCTGAAGGCGTTGACCGTCGCAGCCACCATGGTCCCCAAGGGCGTGTCGTTGGGTGAGAAGTCGCGAGAGGAATAAAGAGAGAATCGAGCTTCCTCCGTTACGCCGTGAATCGAGCCAGCGTCCATGATGTATTTTCCGTCTTTCACAGAAATGGTGTACACGACGCGGGCCTTGCTAGGTGCAAGGGCGTTGAATAAGAGGCGGTCTGCATTACGACCTTCGCACTGCGGGATCTGACTGGTACGTAGTGTTAGCGACGTGAGTGCATGCTATCTGGAGGAAGGAACACACTCTGGGATGTCTGGAATGCGCTGCATAAGGTCTTGGTATGTCAGCTTGTCCGTCGCGACACTGCGCAGAGTATCGAGTAGCGCCCTGGTGAACTCCCCACGACCATTCTCCTCGTGGGACTTCTCGATCTCGCGACATGCAGCCAGAAGCACATGCGAGCGCGAGCCAGACTTGGCAAAACCGGCAGCTACAGCGATAGCGCGCTCGTCTGGATCAGAGATGTCGTCCCAGATATCCTTGTCCAGGCTGAAAGGGATATCATCTTCCGAGTCTTCCAGTTCAAAACCTCGCTCGAGACGGTCAGGATTGAAGTCCTTTTGTCGTGTCCCGGAGCCGGAGTGACAGCAGTCAAAGATGACGGTCTACGTGAATGTGTCAGCTGGCTCATGGGAGGAAAGACGTGTCTGCACTCACGATATTGTCGCCCTTAGCTTGACCAGCGCCATCCGTCTTCTCCGCGAGCTCGTGAAGGATAGCACCGATGGTCCGGTCTGGGATAGGCTGCACTTGCTGGCCATCTTTTCCGGGAATGAAACAGTCATGCGGTACTATGAGTGAAATCTTGTCGGAACCGGAGTCCCAACCTGGTGGCGCTGGAGCGGTCGCGCCATGTCCGGCATAGAATATGAGTATCGGGTCGTCCGGGCGGATGCTATCGCGCAATCGAAGCGCGCGAAGTTCGCGTATGATAGCACTGCGCGTAGCTTGCTCGTTGCGAAGGGTTACTATTTGGTGAGGTGGAACATGTAGCTCGTGGCATAGGTAGTCTGCAATGGCGTCTGCGTCTGGCGCAGCTCCCCGCAGGTTATTGATGCGGTGCGACTTGTACTCGTTGATACCTATAATCAAGGCATGCAACGGAGAGCTCTGAAGACTGCAATGTATAATATGTGAGGTCCGACGCCTAAGGAAACGACAGCAACAATACACACGTATTCAGGATTTCTCCCGTGGGCATGGCGCTGCCGGAGGCACTGTCAGCGACTAGCTTTACCGGAGTGCAGCCAAGCAGACCTATTCCCTGACGTTGAAGCCGCGGGCTGCCTACACCATTGATCAGCGGACGCAAATACCTATGTGAAGAATGGCGACACACCCCATGAATTGCCATATCGCCTCTCCAACGCTCTGCGCGACGGTTCCGGCCATGCCGCCCAGTGGCAGTGGCATGATGGTAAGACGAGAGTAAGATATCAAGGGACGCCGATCTGCCCTTTGACCGCCATCGAACAGGGCAGATTAGATCTTGATCTGTCCCAGAGTCCATCAGCGCGTGTCCCTCGTCCCAACCTCAACTTGGTACCCATTGCAGTAGACGCTTGGTGTCTATGACAACCGCAACACAAAGTGACTGAAGAGAGTAGCGCCCGGGCCGGCCTTGAGCAGGATGAAAGACGTGTAGAGCTCGGAGAGGCTATATCCGACGCGGGTGAGAAGACAGGCATGCCTTTCCTGAAAGAGCTCGCTAGGGTCCTTCGCATGGTCCGCGAAGTGAAGCTACTGTAAAATTACATAGTGGGATGTGGCCGTCGCGAACCCGCGGCTGTGATGGTTTCCGTCAACTTGCGTCCGGCTCGCAGACGCGCGCGGCACGAACGCATAGGTATTGAACACGTGAATTTCCGCTGGTACGACACATTGTGCGCGCGCAGGCATAAAGCGCCTTCGACCTCGACGACTTACGACGAAAGCAGAACGCTACGAATGAGTGTCTTGGTACCATTCAAGAAGTCTACACGCTACTCCCATGCCTCAGATTGAACCGCGGTCATATTACATATGTATCATGTGGAGTATCTGATTTTGAGCCGGCGCAACATCGTGAGGACAGAGGTCGACTCTTCTAACATAGGAAATAAGTATAAGGATAGGCCAAGGACTAGACAGCTCTGATGATATCCACAGGCGACGCACAAACAGAGCAAGGGTCCGTATGCTAGACTTTCAGATACCGCGAAACAAACCCAACTAGCTCATCGTACAGCCCGCCTGGTACACCGTACCTTCCGTCAGCACCGGGACTGTAATCAAAGGAGTGCTCCTCTCCAGGGAGTATACGTAGCTCCGCGTGCGCGCCCGCGCGCACCATCTTCGAGTGCAGATACCGACTTTCATCAGCGTGCACCGCCGTGTCCGCCTCACCGTGCACCAGTACGGACGGCGGCCAATCAGCGCCGACCAGCAGCTGAGGAAAGAGTGAAACGAGATCTTGAGATAGCTCCTTCGCCAGCCACGCGTCGATAGCCTCTGCGTCCGCACCGCCATCGAGCAACTCCGCGACGCGTCCAGATAAGCTCGGCTCATGCTCGCCCGCCCAGTAGTCTGCGTAAATGCCTTCTTGGATGTACAACCGTGCCAGCTGCATGCGCGGGTTGGCTGGGTATCCAGGTGTTGGGGAGTCTGGTCCGTGAAACGCCAGTGAGCTGCTCGCGAGTGGCGGTAGCTGTAGACAGCGTGGGTGGGTATATGTGGCGTAGGGTTCTGCGCGAGGATCCAGCATCTCGTATCCTTTCCAAAAGGGCTCCGTTTTGCGGGTGACTAAATGTTTAGTCTGCGCGGCCGGAGTAAACCTTCAGTGTCAAAGCATGGCTGTCTGGCCTAGATACACTCACGAACATATTTCCGCCCATACCGCATAACGATAGCACGACCTGAGGGCGCGGTCGCAAGTGGGCTGCGGCGAGATATGCACATAGCGAACCGGCGCTGGTGCCCGAAACCCCTATCCGTTCCGGGTCAATACTGAGAGTCAGGCCTTTCGTATCCAGCGCTCCGTTGAGGTCGTCCCGGATGAAAGTTAGGACGTCGAGGACGTCGGACAGAATGTCCGGTCCATATGACGGCGGCATCAGGCGGTAGTCGGCAGATATGAATGCGATACCTTCCTTCGCCAGACGCTCTGGAGGACGAAACTATCAGCATATGATTCAGCGTTCGCAGTCAAAACCAGACATGCAGTGAGCTCGGGTGTGCGGGTTGTGGCACACTGTTCCAAACGCTTATCTCACATCAAGTGTAGGAATGATACGTGTGGCGCGTAACGACTCACCATATAACCAAGTCGGGAACCAGCTCGTACGGTCACCAACAGTCAGACCACCTCCATGGAAGTATACGAGAGCTGCAATTTTGCTGGTATCGGCCGTTGGAGGTGCATAGATGTCGAGAGCAAGATCTAAGTCGCCGATACGCTTGTAAACGAGTGTGATTGGTTCAGGCCGGGTCATAGCGGGAGTAACAGGGACTCTAGAGAGTTGCGGCGAGCTGTAGACTGAATGGAAAAGGAGACAAGTGCAGCACTAGTGCCAGCCCTAGAGCCTGTACGGTGATGAGCGCCAGATCCAAGTCGTGAAAACCCCCACAGCCACGATAACTCCGGATCAACGCGCGCCCAGGGCATGTCCACTGGCGCCCACAGCTGGCGCCCGCCTCGCTTGCCCCGCACCTTGAAGGTACTGTCCTCGCATCGCTTCACTGTACGTCATATTCAACTGCCTGGGTCTCACAGCCAGCTTCGCATCCAAGGGTCCTCTCGCAAAGAAATATAGCAATGGTCATGATCATGAATCGATAGCACAGTGGCAACATATACAATACATGCAGAGCGTGATGCGGAAGCGGGGCACATAAAAAAGGTGGGTAAGAACTCTCCGCAGTGCGCAGAGACGGGCTCGACCACAGAAGACCCATGGCCCGCTCCGCGCGCTACAGGAATAGTTGAGGGGGTAATCTAAAGTAAGGGAAGGGGCATCGCGTTCGCTCGGGGTTTGGCAGTCCGAAGCGAAAAATCGTACAAAATTGTCCAGCAGAACAGCCAACAGCAAAAAAGCGTTCGAGGTTCTAACTGCAACAACAGGTCCATGACCACCATCGTCAACGCGCCATGCATCCACCACCCACCGCCAGCGCCGGGCGCTCAACGACGATCATCAGGGATCGAGTCGTAACTGGGCGGAATCTCACGCGGGCTCGTCTCGTCTTCCGTCTCTTCCGGTACACGCCCACCATCCGTGTGCTGCATGAAGTCGTTGTTCGTCACGCGCATCCTTTGCGCCTCGCGTTCCTTCAGATTACGCGGTGGTGCCCACGCGGCGCCATGAGCGCCTGAACCTTCGCTGGAACTGCTCATCGGGCCGGGCATAGGCATGGGCATGCCCATCGCGCCGGGAGGTGGCGTTCCGCCGTAATAGTAGTTCCGCATGTCGCTCGGGATCGTGCTCGGCGGGTAATGGCTGCTCTCCGATAACGCATCGGGTCCGCCGCTCCCACTGTGACTGCCGCCAGAAGTGGTAGGCGCGTAACCGGAGTAGGCGCCTGGGGTAGCGCGGCCCGGAGCGAGGAATGGCGCGCCTGAGCTGGTGTCCGTCGTAGCGTATCCCATCTGCGGCCCGGGACCGGGAGCAGGGAAGGGCGTGATAGCCGCACCGGGCGTGGCATCGTCTGGCGCAAGGTCAATATGACCTGAATGGCGCACGACACGGTCGGGATCGAAGTTGCCGTCGAATTCATCGCGGTTGTGCTTGCGCTTCCACCGCCAGAGGAAGAAGGCGATAAGGGCGATAGCGAGTAAACCGCCGACGCCGCCTACGACACCACCGACGATCGCGCCGGTGTTGGATGAGGAGCCTCCCGAGCGGTTGGCTGCGCTGCCAGCTTGAGATGTGCTGGTGACGACTGTGACGGCGGTCGAGGTGTAGATGACTGTTGTTGCCAATCCTGAGGAATCGGTGGTCCTGAAGCGGAAGATGTCAGCAATCTTGTCTATTTCGGGCCGCGAAGACGGCGCTTATTTCCGCACGGGGGATGTAGCATGGGATGCAGCACACAACCGTGCGGACAAGAGATAGGCGAGACTCACACGAAGGAGCTCGAGAACACTTGTGAAGAGGTCTGGGTCTGTGTGACAATCGACGTCGCGGAGGCGATCGATGCCGAGGAAGAGCTCGCGACCGAAGACGAAGCGGCGGCAGCACTCGAATCAGTCGTTGAGCTGGCTGGAGTAGACGCCGGAGTTGATGCTGGGGTAGAGCTGGCGGGCGTTGATGAATCAGGCGGTGGCGTGGAAACTGGCGTTGAACTGGTGTCTGTGGGAGTTGCAGATGATGCGGGCGTTGAAGCCGGTGTTGAGGAGTCGGCCGTGCTCGAAGAGCCTGTAAACAGAGAGAGCCATGATCAGTATGATGTTTGAGCCACCGTAGCAAATTGAGGACCAGAGGCGGCGGGAGATGAAGCGGCAGGTGCGGACGACGCGGAGGATGCCGACGTTCGTGAAGCGAGCGTAGACGAAGCCTCCGCTGTGCGTTCGCAGATGCATGGATCAACACGACGCCACGGGTCTGCAATAGTCGGAATCCTGACGAACTTTGTGCTGCACTCGATGGTGAGGGCGTGGCAGCCGGCGTACTCGTGGTAGAGGCCGGCAAAGTGCTCGAGTTGCTCTCGGACATGGCGGTCTATTCGTTACAGGAGGCAGAGAGCAGAGAGAAACGTGGGCAGAACGAGACCAGCAAAGGACTCGGGCGGGTGGTGGAAGGAGGCAGAAAGCTTTGCAACTCGAGCGCAGGCACAAAGTGCAGGCCCGACGCTTTCGATGACGAAACGGGGTGATAACCCGTACGCGTGCGGAACGCGCTCGGGCCTTCTCTGATTGGCACCACCACCACGTTCGCCTCTTAGATAAAATAAAACGCTGCTCACCGGGATCCTGACGTTTTCCAAGGCCAGGCTGCATCCTGGGCCGATGTTGTCTCTGACAGAGAGATGGTTGTTGCTGGACAAGCGCCGGTGGCCGGCCTGCATGCAGCGCCTTCAGATCCATCACCACGTGAGACCCGCTCAGGCCATCTCCTTCTTTTCTCCTCCCGACTCCATCCTTGCGCTTGGGCACCACGCATTCTTGGCCCTCACGCGTCATTTGAGACCGAGGGAACGAGCTCGGGTCGCCTGGTCGACGTCTGGTATGCCCTGGCTGGCGCTCGCAAGGCGGCATACACGATGATACAAGCGCTCATCGACTGCACGGCACACTCAGCCCGACCGAAACCTGCACGGTGCACACGCGAAGTTCGCTCTCGACCCTGCCTCGGCTAACGCATCTTCTTCCGGCTCCCGCATGTTCGGAGCGCCTATGCTGTGAACATTTACATGCTCGTACTCAAACAGACCACGCGCAGCATACTGAATAGTAGGCAATGGAACGTCGAACCGTCGCGGAACACGGAATCTTCGCATCGGTTTGGACCCGTCGGCTTGTTTGTTCTTGGCTTTCGCTCTGTATGCGAAGAGGGGGCCTAACTTGAAGTGAACGTACTGTTCATCGATGCCTATCTGGTCTATGCGATGCTCTGGTACTTGTCTAGCTCCCTCTACTCCATTGCTCTAGAGATTCGGACCCAGGCGTACTACCTTGAAGCCCGACGGTGCAGAAAAATGTCTCGACAGGACGGATGCAACCTTCCCGCGCGGACGCATTGTCATGCAACGACACCGGAGGCAGCTCAAGGCGGCCGTTCCGTATGGCATTCGGATGCAACTCGTCGTTGGCAAATGCCTCCTTCTCGACGGCTCCGAAGCTGCGGGCTACGCTCTTACGGCGACTAGCAGCACACCAAGAATGCTGCGAAGAATATGCGACAACTGGATTACCCGTCGCGCTCACCTTCGCCGCAAGCTCCCAGGATGAAGTTCCTCCGCCGATGTACTCACCCGAACATGATCGATGCGCGGTCTTAGCGGGAGTACTCATGGTGGCGATGATTGTCTGATATCTTTCGCAGGGACAACGCCGAGCGCTCAGATTGATGCGCTGGACTGTTTGTTCATTCGCATGATGTTGTTTCGAGTACCCTATGCGCGTATGTTGTTCCAAACAGTCAGTTCGACCTCGCGCCGATCACAAGCCTGACGCATATCCACAGATGCCTTTGGCGCCACATATGCACTGTAATCTAGGATAGACTTTTACGATACGAGTCTGCAATTGCTCGACAAGTCCGACGCCACAAAGAAGCGCCCGCACCTACTACAGGCACATTGGCGTATCTATCTTTGCTGAAAGCCGAGATGGTCACAGAGAACGAAGGGATGGTGGCTACAGACTAGGTCTCTCAGCGGAGGGGAGGCTGTGAGACTGATTACTTTCACTTGCTCCGAGGTGATGAGTACCGTAGCTCTCGTTCGCTGCTGTACTACCTACAAATTATTTAAATCAACAACTCATCTGAATATATTGCTTTGATCGCCTTTCGTGAGCGAACTTCCCCTAGCGAGCGTCGGTGTAAGCACGATGCAGCGTGAGCCTTTTTTTACACTTTGAGAAGGCTTGCTCGTTACGTCTGAGGCATAGGCAAATCCAGTAGTATGACGAGAAAGCGAAGGCACAGATATTTAGGGTTAGGATTGGTACTGATGGCCACTGCGCCGCGTCAAGCCACTTGAGCTCGTACCACCACGACGTCGAACCCTCTACATATCCATTGTCGTGATCCATAGTGACTTATCTGAGCAGTCTTCTGTACAACAAGTCTTAGTGCAAAGCGCAGAAAGCCGCGACCCTATCAAACGCCGAAGTGCACGAAAGGCGCCCATCGAATGAACTCCTTCTCGCCGACCTTCTCCCTTAACCTCTTCATCGCCTCATGCAACGCATATGCTGCACCTGTGCTTCTGGCTCCACTCGCACTTCGGTGCATCGACTCCAGCAGCCTCGTGTAGTACTCCTGCACTACGACGGGTGCATCAGCATCGCCAATGGACCACATCGTCGCGACGACACCCTTGAAGCCGACGGCAAGCATCCCCGCCGCGAGATGTGCCGACTCCTCGGGTATCTTGTGGTCACCAACGGCAGTCTGGCATGCGGAGAGGAATGCAAGCTCGGCATTCTCTGCCGCCGTAGACATGAGATCGGCCAGTGAGAGCGGTCCGTCGTAAAGCGCGAACGCACTCTTGGTCGGATCAGCGAGGTGCTGCGAACCGTGGCAAGCTAAATGCACCCAAGCGTGCTGATCGATGACGCCGCGCACGGAGTCTACCGTCGCCTCCTTGTCATTGAAGGTTGTGCTGGCGGTATGAGACTCTGCAAGTAACTGACGTAGGCGGTTGCCCTCAGTCACAGTCCCCGGTAGCGCGGATAGCTTGGGCGTGTGCGGTTGAGTCACGATGAGTACTTTGGGGTCCACAGATTTCTTCGCAAGTCCTTCATGGCTGCGCATGAGCGCAGATAAAGATGGCGTGTACGAAGATACGACGAGATTGAACGCTCGTGGTCCTCCCTTCTGACTGTATAGGCCAGCGGCGTGCAAAGGTAGCTGAGTGAGTGGTCCCGTAGGACACCAAGTGACGTGGGGAAGCTGTTCTCCTCCCTCCTATAGAACTATTGTCAGTTTGGACGCGATGTAACAAAAGCGTGTAGTTAACTGACCGATCCATCTAGTTTGAATTGTCGCAGTATCGGTTCGACAACCCAAGTCCATAAGCGTTCAAGCAACATCTCAAGTCTCGAGAGCCCTCCACGAAGGGCCATGCTCGGTGAAACGGCTGCTCGTTGAAGGACACCACAGGACGCGAGGCAGTTGCGCCAAAGTGAGTGTAGTTGGTAAGCCCGCTTCTCGGAGAGGTTAGGCAGCTGTACAAGCTTGATGTCACTGGAACCAGTAGAGAGAATGAGTGCGTCACAACGGTGCATGTCTATGTTAATGAACACAACCGGACCGTCAGACTGAATGAGTTTGATAGACTGCACAGCATCGGCGAACGTCTGCGGCCGCATGAAGTTCTCGAGCCCGGGGTAGCTCCGAGCTTGTGCGAGTAGACGCTCGTACTGGATCACTAGTTGGCGGTGAGGATCTCGCGCGTCTGACACCATGCCGAGTATGCTCTCATTCTCTGAACGGCGGTCGAGGAGCATAGAGTGATGTCCAGAAGCTTGAAGCTGTGACTGTAGCTCCCGTAGTGCGTCGGCAAGGTCTTTATCCTGCTGAGCGAGGTCATCGAGGGGGGTCCTCATCGCGAGGACTTGCGACCATACAAGAGCACGCCCTTGTTCGAGCCACACGACTGCCTGCTGTAAGGCTCCTACAGAGATGGCCCCAGCTACGGCGGTATTGGCGAAACCTCTAAGCTTTGCAGCCTCCTCGTAACGACGTTCAACGTTGTGTCCGAGCCACATCAGCTCGGGCAGTAAAGATATGACGTGCGAATGCGCTTGAAGAAGTCTGTCCGGAGACCTAAACTGCGGGTATCGGTTGAGTAACGAAAGACATCCAGATGCGGCAGACATTCGATGGTAAGGAGAGGCCGAACTTTGAGCTGCTGCAGCCATGAAGGACTCGATAGTCGCATCGAAATCGGACTGAGTCTGGGTACGGTCGAAGCGCTTCTCCAATGCAATTCCCAGGTTGTTGAGCCACATCGACTTGTCGACGCCATCGGAAGGCGTGAGCTCTGCCGCTCGGCGATGCGCCGATATCGCGGCATCGAGATCGTCAAGCTCGTGCAGTAGCTCGTAACGACTCTGCAAGGAGGCGCCGTAGCTGTTCAAACGCGACGGCTTGCTCGGGTGGCTGTCTGAAGTGAGTTTCAAAGCACGGCGCTGTGCAGCAATGGCGGACTTGACATCGTGTAGCTCGTGAAAATGAGCGTATCGTCTTTGATGCGCGTTCCCGAGATTGACGAGCCGGGATGGCAAATGAGAGTTGTAGCCTGGTGTGAGGTCGACGGCTTGACGCAGAACTGTGATGGCCATATCGAGATCTTCCCGCTTTCGAATACGCTTGTAACGGGCGAGCAGAACGATGCCAAGACCGTTCAACCAAACAGCTTTGTCTGGCTCGTCGTCAGATACAAGTTCCACCGCGCGTTGGTCCAGATTGATGGCAGCCTCGATATCATCAAGTTCTTGCAAGCGCTCGTAACGTCCCTGCAAACACACGGATAAGTTGTGCATGAGCAAGGGGATGTCATCATGACCACTGGGTATGAGCTTGATTGCTAGGCGGTGCAATCTGATAGCGCTCTCAAGATCGTCTAGCGCGCCTTCGCGCCCGAATCGATCGCGTAGGTAGTTTCCAAGGCTATTCAATAACAGCGGTTGGTCTGGGTGGTCCTCTGGAGTGAGTCCGACGGCCCGACGTGCAACGGAGATAGCGGCATCGAGGTCCGCTGGGTTACCGAAACGCTCGTATTCTTCCTGTAGAAGTAACCCGCGGAGGCGTAACTTTGCGACGTCGACAGCACCTCCGTCCGGAAAGAGCTTGGCTGATCGTTGCCTATCGAACGCGGCGGCATGCTTGAAGTCGTAGGCAAGCCCGAGTGCTTCATAGCGACGCTGAACGACGGTATCAAGCTCGTCCTGCAGATCGAATCTATCAGGATGGCTTTCAGGAAGAAGCAGGTATGCCCGGCGTAGCATTGAAATGATGGTTTGAAGCTCCTTGTCGTCGGCAAATTGAGTATGACGAGACAAGAGCGATCGACATAGGCTTCTGAGTCGCGCGGGCATGTTCGGATTATCGCCTGGTGTCAGCTCAACCGAAGAGCGTAGTGTTGATATTGCCTCCGCCAGGTCTTGCGGCGCATTCGAATGCTCGAAACGCAGCTGCTGAGAGTACCCAAGATGGTGCAGAAGTAGAGCCCTATCAGAATGAGTGTCGGGGGCTAGAGCAACCGCTCGTTGTTGCAATGCTAACGCGGTTTCAAGATCGATCGGCTCATCGAGGCGCTCAAAGCGTTGTTGCAACAAGAGACCGAGCGCATCGAATCGCATAGGCATATCCTGGTCACTCTCCGACGTGCGATCGATAGCACTTTGTAGTGTCGTTATAGCATCGTTGAGATCTTCATCCCTTGCTAAAAGCATGTATCGGTGCGCAAGGAACTCTCCAAGGTAACCGAGTGTAGTTGGGTCCGCTTTGGAAGTAGCTTCGACCGCCAGTCGCAGACAATTGACGCACGCATCGAGAATCTCGATGTCATCAGAATATGGAGGGATGTCCGTGGTGAACCTTGTCCGATGCTGATGGTCCGGCATCAGCATCACACAAGACGATACAGTTGGCAAGGACAAACCTGTAAGGACGAACGCGCAGCTTTTCTAGCTCTTCCTGCGCACCCCAGCGTAATTCCATGCAGGATCGACCTAGCCAAGATTGCCGATAAGCCGCGAAGAGTCAATAGGGCTGACTCGATGGCTTACCTCATCCGCATTTACTTGTAACAGAGGAGCAGGAGTGGACAGATGTCGAATCAACCGTCGACGCTCTCGACACGGGATGAGGGACGGACGAACAATACTTCCGAGTGCATGGGCTTCATAGCCAGCAGGCGGACATGCGCGATCTGATTGATGCGCCGCGGACAGCTCTACGTACGCTATCGGCCCGAGACCGAATAGATCCCATTAATCGAAGGCATCACGCAAGCGAACTGTGCATGCTGAAAGTTATCTCCATAAGGCAATCTCGATGTTCTCAAGGTTTAGAAAGGTTCAGAATAGTCCCTGAGCTTTGTGGATAGACAAGAGGTAGAAGCGTGGATAGCATCCTGTACCCATTGTGGACTGACACTACGCACATCGTCAACGATACTGAATAAACGCGGCAGCGAGGAAGCTCAACGGCTACTACTGACCTATAAGTACACCCAGTACACCTGCTACATCCTCCGTTCCATCCTTCGCTGCCCTCACGACCCGTCTTAAGCCGTAGAACATAGCATCATGCTCAGCGGACTGGCATTCATTCCGTGGTCTTCGCGGCAGTTGACTTTATCGTGCATGCATCCACGGCGTAGGATGTTCGAGCGCACGGCGCACGTCACAATCGCAGCGTGTGTATATTCAAAGCCCTACTGAGCTCGAACGAAGCGGTGACAACGTGCCACCGACGATGCTCCCCAGGTGCAAGGTGATGGTGGTTGCGGGGCGACTACACACGCGCGTTCCTCGCTCTTCGGGCCGCGCGCGGGCCTCCGCGGCCGCGCTGGTTGTGAGTTGCGTCCTGCCTCCACCTTGTCATAGATCTAGAAGCTTGTCTCCTCTGCGATTTCTTACCTTACATGCTGAGACTCAAAGATCTCTCGAAGCCCCAACTGCTTGTCTTGATAGAGCAGGGTATCGCAAAAATGCTCTCAGAGGGTTCGACCCACATGTCTTCTTGTGGATTCAAGTTAACATATTTATTCAACGAGATCTCCTTCTACTCATGCTCTGCACAGTAGTACATCTCGCAAGCATTTGTGAACACGTTGAATATACACAAATGCGATGGTCTAGTTTAGACAGCTCAGTCATGATGCTGAAGGCATGCGAACATCCCAGGAGTCGTTGACAGGATGGTCAATGGCACAACGAGAGCACAGATGATAGATACGAGTACTCCTTGTTCGCTCACCTGCCTACTACGGCGCGTGCACTTCCGCCATCAACGCATCTTCTAGCGGTGGTGCCTCTAGTCCTGCTCCAAGTTCGTCGGGCTCGCCACGGCTGAGATCTTGCGCCGTCGGTCGCGGCGCCTGTGTGGGACGGCCGCGCTTTGGTACGTCAGGCGTATCGGTTTCATCTGCTTTCCGGCTACCGCGCTTGCGCGGCCGTTTCGTGCCCGGTGGCGCAGTGAGATTGACGCTCCAGTAAAATCCGCGGGTGAGGAGTCGTTGTCCTTGTTCTCTTTCGAAGAGTCGATTTAGGGATAGCTGATGGCGAAGAGATTGCTGTATTTTCTGCTCGCAGATAGTTTCAAGGGTTACTATAAGCGATCACACACCTTGAAACGGGTTTCGACCAGTTCTGACGAGGTAAAGTAGGGGTATTTGTCCATTATCGACTGGTATATTTCGCTGACGAGCATCCTTTTGTCGGGGCTGCCCAGAATAGCACAAGAGATGAGGACAGGAATCGTATACAGGGGACGCTCATTGGTATCCACTAAGCAGTTAAGACAATCCGGGCAGCCAGAATGGGATTCATGCTCGCCGGAAGCGTTAACGCGATAGCGATAACGATCGGAGGCGCCACCGGGTTGGTGTACTACCGTTCGTGGTTCTGTAGAGGGCACGAAATCCGGCGATGTGGGGGAAGTAGGGCTTGTCGTCGACGTTGACAACATACTATCTTTTCTGAGTATCGAGATTAGCACGCGTTCGTGAATGCAGGCTGTGCACACACCTCCACTCTTTCTCGCCTACGCTTTCTGTGTTCAAGATCGACCCAAAGTTTGCCATCGCAGGCGGGGCAGAGGACGAGGTCAGTGGTCGGGAAGTGATGGATGATGGTGACGCGATACGGCTCCCCAAGGGCCCTATATACGCGCATGGGTCCCTTGTTCGACGCGCTTGTCAATGCCAATGGTTCCTGCATGACATTTGACACGGCGACCGCGGAAAGCTACGACCCCTGAGAATGGTGATTGTAGTGGCGGACTTTGAACCTCAGACAGGCCACCCCATAACCCCCAACTAGCGGTGAACAAAAGACGCTGCACCAGATAAGACTGGCATATGAATGCAGGGAGCCTCTGTCCACCGAATCCTCTTGCCGCGCCCTCTGCCGAGGTATGCAGAATGAACGGCGCGGTGCGTCTCAACTCGCGCAGCGACGCGATACGGCAACAAGTGCATCCGCATTCTGTTATGGAATGGTCTCAGACGCTCATTGTGGGTGTCCGTGGGATCGCGGTTGATCCCGTGGGCCGAGAGAATGTATGCGCGAAGGCATGGACCGAACGCGCGGGCCAAAGGGTCTATTGTGGTTAGACCGCGAACGAAAGAGGCTGTGCAATAGAGTTATCGATGGGCGAGCGGCTCGCCCGACGTCCGCGATGAGGTCAGATCGTTGGTGATCACAGTACAGGGAAGGACCTTTGTAGGCTCCTTGCGGGGTCCTGCGGGCCGAGTGTTCGGTGTATCCGATTCTTTGCAAACTCTACCAGCATGCAGACAGATGCAGACGCGCATCCAGCTGGCTGCGAAGCGTAGGCGGACCATGCGAGCCCTACTCGCTTCCCTGTCTGGATTCTTCGTCCGATGTAGCACCTGACGTGACGCCTAACAGCGCTGGGTCATTGCATGCTGGGAGATGGTAAACGTGGGGCACGTATGCACATGCAGGATCGCATAGGTTATATTGCAACACTCTGGCGAGAAAGTTGGATATATCGTACAAGAATTTGGGATACAGTGTGCATGTTGTATTCCTACGATTACCTGCTGAAGTTCACATCAGTAACAAGATCATACACACACATGCTATCGCACGCACCGGTTCTCCCACCACCCCAGTCAGAACGATGTCTTCCCTCAATCCATATACGCTACTAGCGACCGGGTGAGAGTCGTTCACAGACTGAGCGCTCGGAACGCTCATGCGCCAAATCCGCATTCGCAGCGGCATTCCGGTCCTAAGTAATCTTGGCCAATGACTCGAGTGCATCGTGCGTATGACGAGCTGGCGAAGTGTGTCGTGCTGGCTTCCGCTTGCGGGAGACGCGTCATGATCCACGATTCGAAGACATGACGGCGAGATGCAGAAGCTTGCAGCGCCGTCCGACAGGAGGGTAGTAAACAAGACCAAATATCACTGCGACCGCGCGCCGTTGTTGCGTCGCCGCCCTAAAGGTTGCTCGTCAACATCCACTCGTCGTCGCTTGGCTTCAGAGTCCCAGATAGTCACCAGTGTCTACGTAGCATCCTCTCATATTGCGGAGCTGTATCGAGCACAAATGGCTGCAGTGTAATGATCCTGCACACGTCGAGAGTTCCGCGAAAGAGGACGGCAAGTACTGGGTCAGACCGGTCTGTAGAATTCGAGAGTAAGTACGCCCTGGTTTACATGGGCTATCATAATGCCAGCTAGTGCGTGCCACTCAGTGGAAAGCCGATACAGTCAAGACGTCAACGCTACGATGTTTTCCAAGCGAAGCACAGCAACGAACAGCTCTCAGCGGTCTCTCTGATTGTGATACATCGACCAGATCAATCAGATAGGCGCATCTAGAGCTGCGAACGGGGTAGCTGAGTTTGAACCTTTGGTGGTGTGAATCCGGGCATTCAGTCCTTTACAAGCAGCCAAGCATACGGGACAACACCAAGGCCCCCAAAGCCATAAACAGACAAGCTGCTACTAGTAAGCGCATTGCGTGCACGATCATGCGTTCATTGTTGGCTCCGAGAGACGGATTCGATGGGACGAAGGACTGGGGATTTCACTGCAAGAGAAAGGCTATATGCCTCTCGAGAAAGGCTTGCAGCTGGCGGATGTACCTCTTGTCGTTTCGGAGGAGTCCCTCAGAGGCCTCTCTCTTAGGAGAACGATACGGCCCGATGTAACGCTCAAGGTGAGTACACGGACCTCCCAGTGAGGTAAATATGACATCGTGGTGGTTCGGCGCAAGCCGGTGCGCCCAAAAGGCGGCGGCCGATCGCGACCCACTCTCAAACAGCCATGGACGAAACGAACCTGCATCCACGCAGAGGGTTATGTCGCCTGAGCAGGCCTGCGCCCTCTTTGGTGTTGAAACAGCCGCCGCGCCATTGTTTGCTCGTGGTCTCTCAGTAGTAGGCAGTGAGCTGACGATGCCAGCATCTCCTGATCAATAGATAGAGAGGCGTCAGTTCGCTTGACGTCAAGAAATCGTTCTGTCTTGCTGATCCGATGAGGTATACTTCGGAGATTAAACACGAGTGCATTCTCTAATCCTGCGGCTAAACACTTGTTGCGCTAAGCAGCTAACAGCGCTAACAGGCGGTAAGCGCTAACCCCTTCAGCCCTCCCTAATCCGGGTGCCTGCTGGCATGCAACCCAACTGTATATCGGCTCGGAGGCTGTGTTGCGCGTGCTTCGCGTGAGACGTTTGACGTAGAACCACAATAAGCGGTGATCAACAATCGCGTGATACTCCGGGACCCACCGGCTCATATAGCGACGAAGATGGCCGGAGGCTTGCTCCGTTTGGCCCTTCCCTTCTGCCCTGGGCTCATTTATCTGATTCATGTACAGCTTGCAGGGACTCTTGAATCCCCGCGAAGAGGGCGCACGAGAAGTCAGGTTGGTTCTTCGCTCTTTGCACGCAACACGAGTGCTGTATGTTGATCTTCAGAAACTATGACAGGGAGGCTTCACCACTTGAAACCTCTAGACTTGAGCCATCGACCGTTGTAGACGCACCTCTGAAACCGTCGAAGCCATCCCAGCCCCGCTATTATGCTCACTATATCTCGTGGACTGGATTGCACGAGCCGCATCCAGGATGTCCCAACTCGCTCAGCTGCCTTGTTGACAACCTTGATACCGCGCCTACTGATCAGATTGAGACGCTCGTGCGATGCGCTATTCTTGGCAGTGGCGACGAAGGGCACTTGAGTATCGACGAGATAGAAGCCGCCTTGAAGGGCAAATATCCCTTCTACAAGAGCGAGGATCGTGAAGATGACCTCAAAGTGGGCAATTGTTTCTAAAGCCTTTACACGACAGTTGACCTGATAGACCTTCATAGTATTCCATCACTTACCTGTTGGCAACCAGTCCGGCCTTTGTACGTCATATCAACAATGGCCAGATATCGTGGGGTGTCACGGATGTTCACGCTCACAACGAGCGACCGGCTCTAGCGATACATTCGCCGCCACAGAGTGCACGCGCGTACGCAAAGTCCCCGTCGATTGGCGCCCCACCTTCGTCAGCAACTTCCTCGTATGCATCCAGCAGACCTACATACTCTGAAGAGAGTCTCGACAGTCCCAGATCTGACACTACGCCGTTCGGTGCATTGGCATCCGACCTCGACGTCGTACAACCTCCACTCTCACCCCCGCGCGTCTCCAATAGCGGCCCTCCTGGGGCGTATATAGGGGCGCCGCTCCTACATGTCGATGATCATGGGCAACATCCACCTCATCCTGATTGCCCTAGTGCTCTCAGTTGTCTTCAGGATACCAATGACAAACCGAGTTACACCCTGCCGATTATCATCCGGGCGGCGATTCTTGGGAGTGCATCGGGACGGCTCACGATCACGGACATCTACGGGGTCATCATCAGGAAATACCCACACTTTGCGACTCTGCCGCCAGACGACTCATGGAAGGTGTGTGTATACACGTTTAACCGGGTGTCGCCTTGCGTGCTCACGGGTCATGGCCCTGCAGCAATCTGTCAGGCATCACTTATCGCTCAGCAATCGTTTCGTGAAGGTGGTGCGCCGAGCGAATGAACCCGGGCGCGGCGCGTACTGGACGGTTGATTTGGAAGCTCCGCCTGGTACGAAGCGCCCGCGGAAGCGAAGTCGGAAAGAACAAGATGGTCCACCGCGACCGCGCGGGCGCCCGCGCACCGTGTACGATCATCCCGTGGGATACGACCCGGACTATGACAAACCAATCCCGTTGCCGGCTCTTGCGCCGCCACCGAATGTGTCACGCAACGACTGGGAGATGGATGAAGACGGTTCGTATGACGAGGACGAGGATGATAGAGGCAATGCGCAGACGGGTCCGCTGCATGCGGCGCGAGCAGGGTATATGCCACCAGCAACTCCTCGCTTGTATCCTGTACATTGGTGAGCGCATAAAGTCTGCGGTGGCGGAGGATGCTTGAGCGATTCTTTCCAAGACGGGCGGGAGAGGGGAGTAGGCTCAGCGGGACAGGCGCGTCTCTCCGCCCGCGGTCCGAAAGAACTGTGCGGGACAACGGTATCACGAAGCCATATGATTGATTAATACGATCAAAAGGCCGCCTGTACATTCGGTTTGTACATAAGTACATGTGCTCGTTTCTGAAGATTCCCTGAAGAAAGCACTACAATACGGCGGACAGCCTGAGGTTAGCACGGGAGGCTTGAGATATGCAGATGCTCGCAGCTACTCGCTACACCGCCAGACGAGGAACTTACCCTTCTCGGGTCGAGATGCTCGTAGCAAACGCGTCAAAGGGCTTGTACCAAGTACGACCGAACGTGGTATCCTGCCATTGCGCTAAGAAATCAGCATTGAGAATGAGCATCGGCATATCGCTGTGTTGAAGCCATGAGATGATGGTCGCGGGAGGCAAGAACACCCAGCGCTGTCGCGTGGCGTGGTGAACAAACTGGGGTTTGTTCCCAACGGCCATCCCGAATGACTGTGGCATCAACGTTCACCTCGGACTTCGCATCGCACTGTCAAGATATGCACATACGACCTTGACATGACCGTTTGCAGGGCGTACGCGAAGGGCACGCATGGACGGGTGACAACCTATGGCTTCGGTGGCGGGTGGAATGGCCGGTGGAATAGTAGCTACATGTGCGTGTGCTCTCTACTGTAGTCTGGGCTATTCTCATTCAATTTCTAGTACGCAACTGTACATACACATGTAAAGCCCGAAGTCTCATCTATCCGCTGGGTGCAAATCTTGAACGGCCGCGTCCGCGAAGTAACATCTTCCTAGGCCTTATCGAATAATAAGGTCATGAGACCTCAGGCCCTCAGAAGATACCAAGCGCGGGCCAATGCGCGGGATTACTTGTCGTTGTCTGAACGATAGACTTGAACTTGTGCGCATGGCCTTCGAGATCAGAAGTTTTCTGCGGCTCCTGGTTAGACTTGCCAACTAATCGCAGGGGGGCTGTAGTGATCAGGCTTCTATTCTCTGCACGCGGCGTCTAGCTGACCCCTTGAACTCCTAGTTCTAGATATCTAGTGCATCTCGTGCCGTAGGGCATGTCTCCTCAGCACAGCCAATCAGATAACATTCGGCACTCCGCCGCCGATATCTGTGGCAATTGCGCATCCCTTGTTTCTCCCTCAACTTCCATCCCCAGGTCGATATACACTTTCGGTTGGCGAATCGCTGTTATCTCTCGCTCAGTCTTCTCGTCCCATCCACGATGTCGGATCACTTGGATACTCTCCTCGGAGACAAGAGCGTTGGATCCATAGATATAGTGAGCGATCCGCCCAAGTGCGCTGTGTTTCATTAAGCTAATTGCGCTTCTCAGACCACGGACTCTGATTTCACTCTACCCGAATTCCCAGAATCGGTGACGATAGAAGATGTGGTTGCCGAACTGAAGACATGCTATGATGCTTCCAACGATCTCCGGTATATCGAGACTGCCCTGCACTTCCTAACGGACGCCGTGGATACTGCTGCCGCACCAAGCCCCGCTTGGCTCTTCGACGTCGGGGTGCTATTGACCACTCGCTATACACAACTTGGTCACTCGGGGGATCTCGACGCCGCGATCGCCATGAGCGGTCGCGCGGTCCACCTCCTGCCAGACGATCACCCGGATGAAGCCATATATCGTCACGCTTTTGGAGTCTCGCTCACCCGCCGTTTCAGAAACAGCCATAATCTCGAAGACTTGAAAGATGCTCTCTTGGAACACCGCCGCGCGCTAGAACTTACTCTAGATAGTGATACCGCCAAAGCGAGACGCACCCTCGATGTCTCAACATTGCTCCAGGAATTACATGAACGTACAGGCGAGGTCGAAGACCTGAACGAAGCTATCGCGCTACTTCAGCGTAGCATGGAACTTGTGCCGGAAGATCATCCCGACTTCATTGCGACGTCTGACCGTGGAGTCGATGCCACGTCAGACGGTAGCTCTGTACTCCTGGCAATGACCATGGGATCTCTATCCGAAGCTCTCCACAGTCGATTTGAGGCTGCTGGGAGACTGGAAGACCTGAATGAATGCATTGAAATGCAATGGCGTGCGCTCGAATTGATACCTTCCAGGCGTCACGAAAGGTCCAGCCTCTTGCACAACCTCAGTAGCTCGTTGCACAGTCGTTTCAGACGACAAGGCCACGCCCGAGATCTTGACGATGCGATTACAGCAATCCGCGACGCTCTGAGACTCCTAGGTGATGATGAGCACCCTGAGAAGGCAACATACTTGAGCACTCTCGGGAAGGTTTTTCAGTCTCGCTTTGAGCGCATGAAAGATCCTCTCGATATCGAGCACGCTGTTTCCCTACAGCGCCGAGCTCTCGAGCTCACTTCTGACACTCATCCCGATAGGCCGAAAAGGCTGGCTGACATTGGCCATGCGTTGTACTTCCAGTACCTGCAGAGCAATGTACCCGGTGACCTCCCTGACGCTGTCGCATTCCTTCGCCGAGCCGTTGAGCTCACAGGCGACGATCACCCTGAGCTCCCGATGAGGCTCAGCAACTATAGTCTGGTACTGCATGCACAGTTCGACGCGAATAGAGACCTGGACGTTCTTTCACTTGCCATCTCGACACTCGAACGCGCGACAGAACTCACCGACGACGAGCTCTCTAGTAAGCCTATCATGCTTCTCAATCTGAGCGGCTTGTATGGATCTCGCTATGAGCAGCTCCAAGAGCATGCCGATCTCGAAAACGCCATAGTCGCAAGCCGGAACGCGCTCGAACTGATGCCCGAAGAGCATGTCATGAAAGTAGCTGCGCTGTACAACCATGGGATGGCCCTATACAGCCGCTTTATCAGCGATCCGAAGCTGAGGAACTTCGAAGCGGCGTATACGTGCTTCATGAAGGCCACGTCGGAGCGATTCGGAGATCCTACCTGGCGCCTCCAGGCCGCCATGCGATGCACGGGCGTATGGCTTGATCATCCCGAGTTCGGCGCGACTGAAGCCCAGTTGCGAGCGCATGCGCGCATTCTTGAGCTCCTCCCTGAGATCGTATGGCTTGGCCACTCTGTGAAACGGCGTTATGAAGAACTGGTTCGATTTGGGCGACTCGTCAATATCGCCGTGTGCGCAGCTATCCTTGCAGATAATCCGCACCAGGCTGTTGAATGGTTCGAAGCCGGAAGGGCATTTGTATGGTCACAGATCTTCTCCCTGCGTGTGCCGGTGGAAGATCTCCAAAAGCAAGATCCTGAGCTCGCTCTCGAGCTATTGGACATACGTTCAAAACTGCAGCGCCTGGGGCATACGGCGCCTGAGCAAGACTCTCCGCCGATTACCTCCGTGAACGATATCACGGGCTTCGCCGCCGCTGCCACGGTCGAAGATCGTCGTCGACTGGTTATGCAGCACGATCAGATAGTGAACAAGATTCGTCGCCGTCCGGGTTTCGAACGCTTCCTACTACCCCAAGGCTTCCAGGACCTTACCTCCATTTTGGAAGAGGTTGAAGCCGGTCCGGTGATCTTTGTCAATGTTGCACATGCCCTGGTTCTTGAGGGTTGTACTGTGAAGATCGTCTGGCTTACGGACTTCACGGAAGAGTGCGCAAGAGAGCTACGCTCTCACTACCAGGGATACTTGACAGCACATGGCATACGAGAACGCGCAATGGTCTCCAGCGGCCGAGGCATGCGCGGCTCGTTGTCGGACGTTTTCAAACTTGTTCTAGGAAAACTGTGGAAGCTGGTCGCATACCCCATCTTGAATGCCCTGGATCTGGTGAGTGCACCTGTGGAGACATATGAAAGACAAACTGATAGATGATGTTCATAGCTAGACAATACCTCAAGCGACAGTCTTCCTCATATCACTTGGTGTCCCGTGGGACCTATCACCCAGTTACCGCTTCACGCCGCAGGCATATACGGCGGTGCGCAGCGCGGACCCTGCATCTTCGATTACGTCGTATCGTCGTATACGCCTTCTCTAAGCGCATTGCAGCGATGCTACAGCGCCTCTATCTCGATGAGCGAGCAAACCTCGACCTCGAAGGTATTGGTTGTAACACAAGCCGAAACGCCTGGCCAATCACCGCTCCCAGGTACGTTGGATGAAAGCGCACGCTTGCGCACGATCTTTCCCAAAGGGGAGAACACATATCTAGAGGGCAGAGGGGCCACCTTGGGAGGTGCTCTTGAAGTTCTTCAACAGTATCCATGGGTTCACTTCGCTTGCCACGGGTCGCAGAACCGGGACGACCCGACACAAAGCGCCTTTCACCGGTACGACGGTGCCTTGACTTTATCCGCGCTCATGGACACGGTCTCAAGCAATGCGGAGATCGCGTTCTTGTCTGCATGTCAGACCGCGACCGGTGACGAGAAGATACCGGAGGAGTCCGCTCACCTCGCGGCTGGCATGCTCGCCGCGGGCTTCAAGGGTGTTGTGGCGACGTTGTGGTCAATCCGCGACGAAGACGCGCCTGTAGTCGTGGAGGAGTATTATAAGAAACTCATCGCTCTTCGTAGCTCGGGAGCAGTTGACGAAGGGCAAACGGGCGCCGCGTGCGCGCTTCATCATGCGGTAAAGCGGCTAAGAGACGAGGTCGGGGAAAGTCAGTTTGAGAGATGGGTGCCGTTCGTTCACTTCGGAGTTTGAGAGGTCCCCTTGAGTTGCATACACTTACCACATAACTTTGAGACGCTTTTATACTATCACATGGGTTCCGTTTGATCGTAATGCGCTCTTATCATCGTTTGATTCTCAGAGTTGGACGTACGACGAGCAGGACTACTTTTTCCTATGCGCTGATTCATGCGAGTAAAAGAGTGACACCCTTATCGTGCACACAGAGGAAAGGCATGCATCATTTCCTAGGTTGGGCTTCCCGCCTCTCGGACCGCTCGCACGAAGATCATCCGCGACGATTTGAGCGCGCGACGCGCCGGTGTACAAGCCACGTGTGCGCGTTTCGCGGCACTACGGAAGTTCAGACGAACGATGCGTCGTAGATCTCTGCAGTCACTTGCTCTATGCGAGTACGCGGTGAGGAGAGTGATCGGGCATGATGAGTTGCACGACAATGGTGTAGCGGGAGGAGAGACGGGTGAGATGGCTGTCTACCGCGGCAGGCGCCGGGTACGACGTGATCCCGACACTCATCACCGTCGCACGGTAGCCTCCCGATAAATGCTGTGGCTACAGTTCACCCGTACCTCCACTCATACAGCGTCTCGCTGATGTGTTTGCTATGATCTTGTTTCGGTCTCGAATCTGATACCCTGGGAACGTAGCCGGCTATAGTTAAGGCGCAGGATACGGGTATAGCTGCACGCGCACTGTCATTCCCCCTCCCACCCGTGCCACATTGCTATACCTCGGCGCGCCGCCAACAACACATATACCATCCCCTTTCTCTTGCCACATCTACACGAAATTGCGTGGGCACGAGTCGCGTCGCGCCGCTGCGCCATAAGACGTCTGAGAGGGGAGTATGGGGAATCGGAGTTCGCGCGTGCGGGATCGTGAGACGAAGGCGCGGCCAGCCAGTCAAGACATAGGAAACAGCGATGGACCTGAGGTTTCCGTGCAGCCCGAACACACAGTTCTGTTACTGGGTACGTTCCCTGCCGCTGTCTCTTCAAGTAGCGAACTGATCGATAGTAGGCCCGAGCGGGTCTGGGAAGTCGACGATCATGAAGCAACTGAAGATTCTGTACCAGAATGGCTACACGTACGAGGAGCTACTAGCATTTCGGCCGCTAATTTGGAAAAACCTCATGGAATGCACGCACGCTCTCGTGGAAGGACTAGAGAGGTTTCATCTGGAACCAAGCCAGCCGCAGAACAAGGTGCATCCTCAACCGCGTGCTTCCGTGTCCTTATGCCGATCTTTTCACAGGAGAGCCTACGCAGACTGAAGGAGTACGTCCTCTCCGGTGACAGAAATTTCCGCTTCGACTCTACAATCGCGCAAGATACATACCATGTGTGGACAGACGGCACTATCCCCACTTCATGGGAACATTCGCCTCAGGTTGACCTCATGGACTCGGCAACATAGTGCGCTCGCTTCGCTCCGTTGCTATTGTGCACCCTCACAAAGCATGAGCAGTTTCTTCAAGCACGCGCGTCGCATCGGTCAGGAGAACTACGTTCCTACAAACGAAGACATACTTCGGGTGCGCGAAAGGATCTCGAGTAAGACGGAAATACGGTTTACTGAAAACCAACGCTTGTGCGCTCTCCTTCTTTCTAAGTTGTTCCACTATCTGAAGCGGCATATGCACAGAATCTACGTGCTCGATGTCATCGGGTCACGATTACAGAGCACAAAGTGGGCTTCCCTGTTCGGGAGTGTAACAAGCATCCTGTTCTGTGCCTCCCTCTCCGAGTACGACGAAGCGCCGTCTGGAAAAGATGGCCAAGTAAGCGCATATTCATCTTACACGTATGCATACACTGATTAGACACTGCACCACAGCACGGCATGAAGGATTCACTCGCGCTCTTCGACTCTATCGTCAACTCGCGATGGTTCTCGCGAACCTCGATCATCCTGCTGTTCACCAAGCTCGACATCTTCAGGCGGAAGCTACCGAAGGTCCCGATGGAGAAGTTTTATCCCGATTACACCGGTGGCGCGAACGTGAACTCGGGCGCCAAGTATATATTGTGGAAATATATGCAGATGAATAGAGCCCGTCTGTGCGTCTACCCGCAGTGCGTCCCCACCTTCTCAATCCTCCATTCCTCATCTCATAAGAGTTATTGTACAGGATCGTGGATGCGACGTCTACGACTAGCGTCCGCTCGGTCTTTGTCGCTGTAGAGGAGGCGGTTCGGCGCACCTCGATTGACAGGGTTCTCGAACTGCTCTGACCTTTGACTCTTGTATATCCGTTATGGGATTCCAGACTGTACTTTATATGCTCAATGGGCATTACTGCATTCTTCAATTGTAGTGCATTGTATTGCTGCCGTCCTGAACACGGCCAGAGGGCTGAGAAGCGGGAATCGCTCTGCTGCACGCTCACCAAACCGCGCCCTTGGCGTGGGGATGAGTGGACAGGTGTAGACGCGCAAAGATAGACGCGGAACTCTTGCGGAACTCGCGCCGAATCGCCGATTCGTCGCGATGCCACTCTTTCTCGAGCCACCACGTCGTTGTCCAATATCATGCCTGTCAACAGTGGCAGTAATGTCGACCTCAACATATCCGAGACGTCGCTGCATGTACTGTCGGATAGTGTCAACGATCCTCCCTTGCCCTTCGATCTTGAGGAATCTTCCGATGATACTCAGACTGGTGGGACGATCAAATTGGCGGCGCAGCTTGCGAAGCAACGCGATTGGGACGTGGATCCCGAGTATCAGTTGTTCTATGCGGGAGATGCATTGCGGGAGCAGTATGAGCTGTCAAACGAGGCCACCGACATCGAGGGAGCTTTGGTTGCCTATCGACGTGCACATCAACTTACACCAGACGATCATCCAGAAAAGGCAATCCAACTGAGCCAGCTTGCCTATTCATTCATATCTTTCTACATCCGCTCCGATAGTGTTGAACTCCTGCAGGAGATTGTGTCCATATTTCGCAGCGCTGCGAAGATAATGCCCGACGAATATCCGAGACGCTCAGCGACGCTAAGCAACTTAGCCCGCACCCTGCGAATGCGTTACGATCGGCTTCATAATGTCGAAGACTTAGATGACGCTATCGGGGTGTATCATCAGTCTATAGAACTCGCGGATGAGGATGATCCGGAATTACCGGGCAAGTTGGGGAACATGGGCGGTTGCCTTTATCACCGCTTCTTGCATCTGGACGAGCTCGACGATCTCGAGAGAGCTCTAGATGCACAACGACGCGCTATCCTCTTGACTCCTGATAATGATCACGAGCTTCCGCTACGACTCAGTAACTTAGGCGTTTCTCTGTGGACCCGTTTCTACCGCTTGGAAGAACTTGAAGACCTTGAACGTGCTCTAGAGGCCGACAAGCAATCCATTCAGTTGACTTCTAAGCAGGATCCAGATCTTGCTTGGAGGCTTAACAATCTTGCCATCTCCCTGTATGGTCACTTCAACCTTTTGGGAGATATCTCCGACCTACAGGCTGCTCTCGAAGCAATAGAGAGGTCCGTTGGGCTCACACCTCCTGGTCATCCCGAACTTCCCTTGCAACTGTGCACATGGGCTGGCTGCTATCACCGTCGCTTCGAGGAGCTGGGAGAGCTTGAAGATATCACCCGCGCCCTCGATCTTCTTCACCAAGCCGTTGATCTCACGCCTGGTGATGATCGCAGACTTCCGAGACTATTGATCAACGTCGGCGAAACCTTGCGAACTCGCTTCGGGCGCTTGAGGGACCTGAACGACCTTGAGAGCGCCGTGAGCTATGGCCGTCGGGCGATTGATCTCATACAAAACGGCGACCCGTATAAGCCGCTCTGGTTACGCGATCTTGCCATCTCTCATCGCACTCGCTTCGAACACAATGGAAGTGAGGAGAGCTTCAAAGCAGCCGTGGAGTGTTTCATGGATGCTACGAATCAGCCACTAGGTGCTCCATACTACCGCTTTGAGTGTGCGGAAGCATGTATTCGCATGCTACGTGACCACAGTGCACTCCCTGACCCCAAATCATCTCTTCTACTCGCCTTTGAGCGTATCCTTGATGTCCTTCCCGAGCTCGTCTGGTTGGGGCAAAGCGTTCAACGTCGATTCACAGAGTCTGCCCGTGTAGGCGAGTTAGTCAATGCTGCCGCATGCGCTGCTATAGAGGCAGGGGATACCACGCGAGCAGTGGAATGGCTGGAGGAAGGCAGAGGGCTTGTGTGGTCGCAGGTCACCTCGATGCGAACGCCGTTCGATGAGGTCACAGAACGCCTACCCGATCTTGCGCTTGCATTCCAAGCGGCCCATCAGGAGCTTCAGCTTTCCCAGTCTGACATTGATGCTCGTGTAGGAGTATCTCCCAAGGACATGGTCTCGCATGTTCAACGCGATCTCAACATCCAAATGGGTCTGTCAACCGCAGACAAACATCGGCAGGCTGCCATACGCTATGAAAACCTCCTGAAGAAGATCCGCGAGCACGACGGTTTCGAGAACTTCATGCGGCCCATGAAGCTTGCCGATCTTCAATCTCTGCCTGCGTTTCCGCGGTTCAACGGGACATTAGTCTACATCAACGTGGATGAAGTTCGTTGCCATGCGCTGACTCTAACGCGCATGGGCGGCGTGAAGCTGGTTTCCCTGCCGCAGCTATCCCAGACGCGCGCCCATAAGCTTCGCACCCTCTGGACTAAACACGTTGGACTTTCTCGAGCGCAGAGGCGGGGCATGGTATCACCTGCGAAAATGATATATGGGACGGGAAACCTGTATGGCTTGATCTTAGGTCGACTATGGATGTGGGTTGTGAACCCTATTCTGCAAGCACTTGGATATGTGAGGGATCATATCGCCCCGATGCTATATCAGCACTCACCTCATCTACAGACTGAACCGCCTCCAGAGAACACGAGGATGCCACACATTGTTTGGTGCCCCACGGGTCCTCTAACGCAGGTTCCCCTCCACGCCGCCGGCATCTACGACGGCTCGGCATCCGGCCAACACGTTTACGACTTTGTAGTCTCCTCCTATACGACGTCTTTGTCAACGCTACTGCGTTGTTATGAGGAGAAAGACAGCATCGAACCATGCCCGAGCACTCTGCTCGTCTCCATGTCGGATACACCCCGCAAAGGTCTCTCTCCTCTACCACATGTCCGCGCCGAGACTGCGCGTCTACGCACCTTCCTGCCAGGACACGCCCAGACCGTCCTTGAGAATGAGGAGGCTACAGTCGAAGCCGTGTCGAACATCCTCAGCGAGCACGCGTGGGTGCACCTCGCCTGTCACGGCTCGCAGAACTTGAAGAATCCCACGGCAAGCGCGTTCGAGCTGTACGACAGTGGACTGACACTGTCCGCCCTCATGGGCAAAGCCTCTACGAATGCAGAGCTCGCTTTCCTATCAGCCTGCGAGACCGCAGTGGGCGACCCGTCGATCCCGGAAGAGTCGGCGCATCTGGCTGCTGGAATGCTTGTCATTGGGTTCAGGGGCGTCGTCGCCACGATGTGGTCGATCTGGGACCAGGATGGGCCTGTCATTGTGGAAGCGTATTACAAGAGGCTTCTGGAGTTGCGGGGATCTGGTTCGCTTGGAACAGGGGAGACCGGCGCTGCATACGCTCTTCATGATGCGGTGAAGACATTGAGGGAAAAGGTGGGCGAGGACAACTTCGAGCGATGGGTTCCGTTCGTGCACTTCGGCGCTTAGGTAAAAAGCCGGTGGTCATGTCAATTAAACTGTGACCCTTGTTAGCGTTCTTGTGTCCGTAATATTTGGAAAGTAGAAGTTGCTCACTAAGGTTCAATCAACTATATTCACTCCACGTCGCCCATAACGCCGATCGGCTCTTCGTACATACCACAGCAAACTACGAACCGCTTTCCGCCAGTCAATAGGGCATAATCCGATCCTATCGGTGTCCTTCTGGTTCGTACTTTCAGGCTTGCTGAGCAAAAGGTCGGAGTCAAGATAAAAGCCATACCTATGGAGCAGAATATACTGTCAGCGCTGCTGTGATCAACACGGGGGAGACTGTAGTGCACCCAGAACCGAGGTTTGAGGGCTCCGCCGCCCGTGGCGCATACATACCGTCCCGAGTGCCGAACCGCTCCCGCGAGTCAATAGGGTATAATCCGATCCTCTATACAAGAAAACAATAACATAGCGACGACAAACATGCAAAGCCAACGATCTAATCCACATGACAAGTCCTCGGATCCCTCCCTCTCGCGCCCCTCAAATTCGCAACCCCACCCGCAACAGAGCTCATACTGTGCCCATAGAAGTACGCCGCCCTTGCCGCGACCTCCTGCTCGACCTGCGCGCGCACGTCGCCGAAGAGCGCGGGCCACCCCAATAGGCGCTCGTCGCCGGACTGTATGAGGTCGGCGAGGAGCACGGCGCCCTGCGCGTGCACGTACGCGACGTCCGTCGCGTTCGTGGCGTCCGTGGCGAGGAAGAACGCGTCGCCCTCGCGCGGTGTAGGTGCGTCTGATGCGAAGTCGTCGGGCGTGATGCCGGGTACCTCGACGGTGTGCAAGCCGGAGTATGTCCACTCGCGCAGGGACTTGAGCCCGTTCTCGATACGGTTGAGTATGCGCGCGGTGTGCTCCTCGATCGTCTTCTCGGCCCAGCCGAGGACTGCAAAGTCGCCGCGGCGCATGTGCGCGGACATGTACTGCCGGCCGTTGTTGCGGTCCAGCATGCGCTGCGCCAGCCGCTCTCCGAGCGCGCGCACAGGCGGAATGGCTGTTCCGCGGGTTAGTCCAATGTAGTGCCGAGGAGAAATGTGCATGGGAACGTACGATGCACGCCATTGAGTACGAGCTCGGCGAAGTGTGTCCGCCCAGGGCCCGTCGTGAAGCGCAACTGGCCCGCCTTGCGGTTCCAGTGCGTCTCGCCCTGCACATGGAACACGTCCGCCGGCTCGTCGAAGAACTCGTCCACGAGCCCGTGCATGTCCTCCAGCGGCGCCGTCTCGGCCTCGTACTCCGTCACCGCCTTGAACATCTCGACGAAGCTCGTGCGGAAGGTGTGCAGCACGCCCCAGCCCGCGTCGTGCAGCAGCTGCTCGAGCTCGGCGGTGTTGCCCCAGTTCACGCCATGGTCGTGCATGACGTTCTGCGCGTGGCCGATGTCGACCGAGCCGTGGGAGTTGCGCTGTTCGCGGAGAGCCTTGTCGACCACGCCGCCCGCGTCCTTGCCGGGCGGTAGATCGTACTCGCGATCGACGCGCACGATATCGTCGTCCCACTCCTGCTGCAGCAGCGTGCGCAACGTCGGGTTCAGCGGGCCTCCGTGGTACAGCTCTGCGCTCCACGAGCCGTTCCCGAGCTCGAGCTCGGGATCAATCTGATGCAGGCGCAGGTACTCGGAGACGGTGATGACCGAGTGCGCCTTGCGGATGCGCGGGAGGTCGATCATGAGGGAGATGGGGAGACGCCATGCCGTCTGCTCGGCTTCGGAGAGGTAGGCGAAGTCGCCCATGCCGATGTCGGGTCCGCGGTGGAACTTCTGGGCGAATGTGGAACATACGTCGCTATGGTGGTAGATCAGTTGATAGATTGAGTGTAGGATGCAAAAAGGCAAACGTACAACTCGTATAGACATGAGCGGGCGTAGATGAATGATGGGATTACAAGGGTGCGGTTGAGTAGCGAGGCGTGTAGTAGGCCGGCCTCGATGATGTAGCGTACCTAGATCAGTTCATGTCAGTACATTAGTTGGACACGGCGCATCCAGATAAGGGACGCGGGAACGAGCACAGCTTTGACGGCTGTTGCATGTGGGACGTTTACACACATCTAAGCGCTCGCGGGGAGTCGCGTGCTCGCTTAGAATAAGCAAGAGCGCGTCCATTCCAGGCAGCGCAACGCTTCCAACGCAACGGACAGCGACGAATAGACACGCACATTATTCCATCCGAGCTGCAACGGCCAATCTCTGGCGTAGAAGCCGCGTGTGCCGGCGACCATCTCCTCGACGCGCTCCCACGTCCACTCGTCCTCGTTCGGCGCCACATACTCGCCCGTGTGCGGTCTTAGATACGCGCCCTTCACCGCGCCGTCGCCTAATGTACACGCGTTGTTCGCTTGCGATCCGTACGACTCGATGGAGAGGTATCCGGCGGGCATGTGCGTGCCGAGTGATGTTGAGAATAATAACAGCGCCAATAGGGCGCATATCGTGACGAGCGTGAAGACCCAACATCTCCATCCTCGTCGTGGTGTTGTACCGGCGAGGTACTCGTAGTATGGCCCGCGCGGCGGGCGTTGCTGCAGTGTGGCCCAAACGTCACTTAAAGTTCCTTCTCAAGCCATAAATTCCCAGCCACGTACCTTTGCGAACGACGGCAGCCAGTCCATTCCAAGTATTATTCAACGCACGCAGGCGGGCCAAAAAGAGAGAGGTATAAGCGAGGGTGGGGAGCGAGGCGAGCGCTTGCAATG